TGTTTTGTTTTGTTAATCAATGACATGGCCAAATTTATTAAATTCAATGGTTGGCAATGATGTTGCAGAAATAATGGTTCATTCCATGCTCGTTGGAAACTTAGGCCTCGTTTCGCAACTATTCTTTTTATTTAAAAAGTTAAAAAATATTAAAAAAATTAAAAAGTCAATAATTCATATTAAAAAGTCAAAGATTTTTTTTTTCTATTTTTTGCACATCTTTTCGTAAAAAATTAAAAAATCATTTCAAACATATTAATTTTTTTTACATCACATTTAACTAAAAAATTAAAAAAATTACTAAAAAACATGTTCTCAAACGAGTCCTTAAATATACTAACCTAAAAGGTAAAAAATGCTTCTAAACAACAATGAATTTTCCCTTTCGGACCAAGTATTGTAGGCCATATTTCGTTGTGCTTATTTGTTATTTTATTCATATTTTCAAAAACATTAAAATGAAATGCTTATAAATGCTTTATATATATATATTTTTAGGTACAAAAAACAACCTTATATATTTCTTAAAAGTAAATTCCTTTTGAATTTTTTTTTTAATCTTTTGGAAATAAAAGCGTCAACCAAATTTTATGTGTTGTTAATTAAACAAAAACAAAAATAAAAATAAAACAAATATATATATATAGTTTTTAAAATTTGGTTCCAGGAGTTGGTTAGCCACCAATACCATTTTAATTGTTGAATCCTTAGAGCATCTCCAATGGTTGTTGCTATATTGGGGTTGCTATTGCTATAATTTGACAATGAATAGTGTTATTTTGTCAAATTATAGCAATGGTGCTCCAATGGTTGTTTGCTATTTTTGACAAATCCCAACCAACTTTCCCTCCAACTTTGTAGGTGTTGTTTGGATATAGGTTTTTTGTGATTTTATTTTTGTTGTTTTTTTGTCTTTTGTGACATTTTTTTATCTGTTTGTTAAAAAAATATTATATTTATATTATTCCCAACTAGACAAATATAAAAAATTTAAAAAAAATAAAAATTGAAAAAAAAAATTTATTTGATTAATTCACCCCACAAAAAACATATCACTACATATTTAATAAATTTTTTTAACTACACATAAAAATTAATTTTAAAACCAATTACCCACCAACAACCAACCACCAACAACCATCAATATTTAACCCAGCATTCATTCACTCACATCCACCCACCCAACAACCATTCATTATTCATTCACCCACCCAACAACCACCCATTATTCATCCACCCACCCAACAACATCCATCATTCATCTACCCACCAACAACCATTCATTATTCATTCACCCACCCAACAACCACCCATTATTCATCCACTCACCCAACAACCATCCATCATTCATCTACCCACCAACAAACCATCCATCATTCATCTACCCACCAACAACCACCCATTATTCATCCACTCACCCAACAACCATTCATTATTCATCCACCCACCCAACAACCACCATCATTCACCCACCCACAATTTTCTCTATAAATATAACATAAGATTTTCTACAATTTCATATTCACCTACCTATCATTTTCATATTTTTCAAAACTCTTTGTATCCACCAAGAAAATTTTCTACAATTTTCATATTCACCTACTCACCCATCCATTTACAATGAACAATTTGAGTAAAGCCATATTAAATGGAGATTTTGATGAATCTTCATCATCTGATGATGATATCATCATGATGCAACTATCACAGCGCAACAAACAAGATTACAGATGTTAAGCCTAAACCAACAAACCAGACGTGTTGGTTCCACAAGTGGTCGTCGATACATTAATCGTGAGAGGGTCAAAGGCGACGAACAATTTATAGAGATTATTTTGCAGATAATCCTGTCTATCCAGAAGAATACTTCCGAAGACGTTTTCGAATGAGGCGGTCATTGTTTGTTAGTATCTTACACAATATTCAACAAGTGAATGAGTACTTCATCCAAA